TATGGCTTCTAGTTTTGTTCTGTGTTAAGTGTATGTCTGTTATGTGGCGTTTTGTGTGGTTTGTCGTTCTGATATTTTAATGGGTTTTCAGGAAACAAGTATTTCTATAGCCAGGAATCCTGTTCTAGACGTACGCCGGCGTTGGGCTTGGGAGGCTACTCCGACGCGACCTCATCGAGGACCCCTGCAGTGGCTACCTAATATTTGTCCCAACGCCTGTTATTCCTGTCAAAAAACACTATCACTGACATCTAGTGGTAGAGCATATCTACAATACCTGCAACAAAGATTTGGGGGGGGGGGTGTCCGCCTTCAAGTACAGGTGTGATTAATTTGTGTTCCTCCCTTTCTGTTAATAGGCTAATGAAATGGGGCAAGCAGCATCCCGAGCAGACTGTGTTAATTGTACCCCTCTTGAATGTTTTTTGAAGAATTTCCAAGATTTTCAGCAAAGAGCACAACTCTATGGTTTCACTGTTAATTCTTTTGATTTACAGAAATCCTGTGAGCAGGAGTGGCCAACTTTTGGGGTGGGGTGGCCACCGGAAGGCAGATATCAGCGACCCTTGGCTGCCCAGGTGCAGACGATAGTCTATGGGAACCCAGGCCACCCGGATCAAATTCCTTATATTCAGATTTGGAGTGATATACTAGCAGATGATCCCAGGTGGTTACGAAATTGTAAAAAGAGGGCTTATCCACCAAAGACAGTTATGATATCAAAGGTGATAGATGGGCAGAAGGGGAGACAGCAGAACGCAAGCTGTATCCAGTGCTCACGGGACTTGGGGAGGACCCCCTCCTGGAGGAACCCCCCTGTATGTCACTGCTCCCTCTCAAATGCCAAGGGACTCTGATACAGAGCCTCAGAGCCCCACTGACTCAGTTAGCCCGTCACACACTCGCAGTGGTTCCCAATATCAGCCGGCACCCAGCCCCACGTCTGAAGCCCCTATTCTTCCTTTGCAACAGGCACCTATGAGTCCTGGATTAGATCGTCCCCCTTTTATGATTTATGTTCCTTTTTCCACTAGCGATTTGTATAATTGGAAAAACCAAAATCCTTCTTTTTCTGAGAAACCACAGGGATTGATATCTCTTTTGGAGACAATTTTCTTTACTCATCAGCCGACCTGGGATGACTGCCAGCAGCTTTTGCAGGCTCTCTTCACGTCTGAGGAAAGAGAAAGAATTTGGAGAGAAGCTGCCAAAACAATTCCCGGCCCTGATGGACAGCCAGCTACTGACCCTGTTCGGATAGAACGTGTATTCCCCTCTATGTGCCCTGACTGGGATCCAAATGAGAATGAAGGTAAGGGGGCTCTCGATCAGTATCGCCAGACTCTGCTCAGGGGTATACGAGCGGCAGCTAAGAAGCCAACTAATTTATCTAAGGTAAGCGAGACATAGCAGGGGCTGAACGAGGCCCCAGTGGTGTTTTTAGAACGCCTCTTTAAAGCTTACCGCCTGTACACCCCTATAGACCCTGAAGCACCTGAGAATAGGTGTGCTATTAATATTGCTTTTGCTACTCAGTCGGCCCCAGATATTAAAAAGTTGCAGAAGTTAGAAGGGTTTAAAGGGAAGTTGCTGTCTGAATTGGTAGAGATTGCCCAGAAGATTTACAACAACCAGGAGGACCCCGGAACTGTGCAATCTAAAAAATGACTAAGATTATGGTGGCCGCCATGGACAGACCCCAGAAACCGAGGGAAAGAGTAAGCCAAGAAAGAAAGACTGGGTTGAAAGGTCAAAAGAAAGGGAGAAATGACCTGGGATTGGATCAAGTGCGCCTATTGCAAAAGATATGGACATTGGAGGAAAGACTGCCACCCTCCTGAGGTATGAGCTAAAGGCAGGAAAGAGAACTCTCTCTACTGGGAGAATTGAAGCAATCTTAAAGATTTCACA